CAGCTTTTGTGCGGTCTTTGAGAATATCTCTCGTGTTTATTAGACTGGTTATTTATGCCAACGCATTCATTGTTAAATATACAATTAATTTGCGATTCGTATTTCACTAAGATAAGTCTCATGCATAATAAAAAACTAAACAGGCGTGATACTCACAATACAATGTCTATTTTATAGTCTCAAAAGTTTCTTTCAATACTAAAACATTTTAAAAATATCTCGATGTCTGAAGTTTTCCAAAGATGCGACATATTAGTAATAAATTTGATGATCAAACTAAGAATTGTTCTCAGTAATGCCTATGTAAATGTTTATGCGTCACATTCGAATGTTGTATGTATTCATTTTTACTTTTCAGTTTCAGAAACAGTTTTATTATTCATTTTGTCAGTTGTGTTTCACTTTTGAATTTCCAACGCTTTGTGAATCATTTTTTAAATTCGTTTAAAGAACCAAAACATGAGCATATAATTAATTCCATATCGCTTATACATCGTGTTGCATTTATCAATTGTTGTGAATGATTAGACGCAGATTTCCTTGTAATATAAGTAGTGATGTGTTTGGTGTTAATTTTTTAATTTTTCATCTCTTAGTTATGAATTGTTGTACCTACTCACTCTGTCATTATATTTTATTGTCTGTTTAATCTTTCGTATTTTTGTCTTTCCAACTGAAGCCTTTCAGATTAATCACTTGGCACATTTCCTTATCATAAATCGTTTACTTGCACTATTAAAAGAAAATCAACCTTCAAGGGTTATTATTGTCAGTAGCAGTCTTCATAGTTGGTGAGTTTTTCTTAATTTAAGTTAATCTTCAATTTTTATCTAGTACAAAGTTGAGTTACTCAAAAAATACAAAGCCATTCTTGTTTCATCAGATTATTCTTTCAATGCTTTATCAAAGGTCGTGCCTTTAATCACCGATGATGATTAATGATAGATGAAAATTAGAAAAAATATTAACACTACTAAAAGAGCAATTTTCTGCAGAAAAGTAAGGACTTGGAATAGTAAGAAGTGGAAAAGAAATCAAAAAAAGATCATTTAAATAAATCATAATTTCTTTCAACCTGCTGGAGTGGTGAAATTGAAGTTTGTGAAAGTTCCTTTCAGGCACAAAATTGATTGGAGGGACTTGATGGCTGAGCGGGAATATGAAAAATACCTTCAATTTTCGAGGACGAAATTAATGAATCATTTAACGTCATTTGCACTTCATCGTCTTTTGGTCAGGCAAGGATGTCAATTTCGAGTTACCTCTAATGTTATCGATTTGGGAAGCATGGAACCAAGAGATCGGAGGTAAGATATTGCTGAATTTCTAGTTAAGGATTCACAAATATTTGGAAATCTAATTTTTGAGTAGGTAAGTACTTATAAGAAGTATAAAGATAAATAAACAAATTACCTTTGTTGATAAATAACGGTTTTGATCACTTCCGATCAGATTTATTTTATATAATTCAAACTCATCGAATTATAAAACATTAAAAACGGTAAAAATGTGCAGCTAATTAAGTTTTCAATTTACTTTCGCGAAAGTCGCTATTTACTCCTGTTTTTCCATGCGTTTCTTAGATATATTGGTCAATGCTTAATTTTTACTAGTGACTATTATTATGCAAAAACATCTTCAATAATTTCAGATCACGGAGTACGTCGCTATCATCCTCCGATACAACATTGGTGCTAAGTAGTGGTGTTGGTACACTGTTAACACTGGTTGAATCTCCTGCACTGGAAAATGTTAGTGGTAAATATTTTGACTGCCATGGGAAACAGACGCGTAGTGGTTCTGATGCTACGGATGAACGATTGCAACAGAAACTATGGGAAATGAGTGAACAGTTGTGTAAAGATTATCTAAATTCTGGTCCATCTATTTCTTCAAATTATGCAATCAATGATGTCCACTTCAGTAATCACTGAGAGGATGATGAATGTATTGAAATAACACGATCAACTGATAATGTGATGTTTCTATTTAAGAGCTTTAAATTTCACCTCATAAGTGTAGTAGTTTCTTTTTTTTTTCACTTTGACAACACTATTTTTACGGGTTTATGTGAATGGAATTTGTTTTCAGTTTTTGATCCTGCAACAGTGCGACAAAATCTATGTTAGTCGTAAGAATTTATCAAAGTTTGTCTTTTTTTTTAGCTATGCAATGAAATCACTTATCAGTAGCTGAGAATTTTTCTTCGTTTTTTCGGACTTTTTAAAGAGTTCATTAATTTTTAAAGAACTAATTTAAATAATCTCACAATTGTGAAGAAATTATTTTTTGTCGTGCTTTTACAAAATGCCTCTCATTTTACTTTCCTGATCTCATAATTTTCCCGTCTTTCACTCATGTTTATATGTTGCTAATGAAGGATTGATAGCGATTGCCAAATTCCAAGTTGTGATTTTTTTAAATGTCGTTGAATGTGTGATATGAAATCAAATTATGGAAAAAATGAAAGATAATGATTTTGAGGTGCTTTGCATAGAAAATGGATAGATTTGCGATGCTATTCCTTCTAAGCTTTCATAACTATGGTAGATGTTTATAAAAGTTTATTTCATAACTTTTTTTGTCACTAAAAATGCCAAGAAGACATTTTTTATTATAACGAGATAATTTTTATCATTATTTCATAACTTTCTTCCCACAAATGTGTATCGTAACATCTCATTCCTGTCATGTGTTTTAGATACGCTGTTAGAAATCCTCCGCTTCTTTTGTTCATTCTGAAATAGTTCAAAAGTGATAGTTCTTTTTTAAATTATTTACTATTTTCTGCATTGATGTTATTTGAAGTGCATGACATCGTTCTCTCTTTACGAAAGAAATCTAACCATGTTGAAAATTAATGATAAGCTCTAAATTACTTTGTTTCGTCTTCAATAAAAAATTATTTAGTTTTAATTTTCAGTGTTGTGTTATGTCAGTAATTTTTTAGCACTGATGAAGTCAATTTAGTTTAATTTCAATTGGAGTAAGGGACATATTAAGTAAAGAGAAAGTAAAATTACTTTGGTTCATCACAGGTGAATTACCTTGCGCATTATATCCTATCAAGGTCGCTGTTCACTCTGCTGAAGAACAATGCTCCATCTCGACTGGTCCTTGTAAGCAGCATTTGTTACGAATGGTTTGTTTTTTCTTTTTGAGAGTGATATGAGGAGGCTAAATATAAAGCTTCTGGACTAAAGTTTGGTGGTAGATTACTAATGCTAGCATTGTTTTAAACATTGAGGTAATGAATTCTAAGAGCAGTATGTGCATGGTACTTCTAATATTCTAAAACATGGCAACAAATAATAAAGCGGAAGCTTGCATATACTGAGGTAATGATATTCAAATACATGTGATGATCTCATAATCTCTGATGTTTATGATTCATTTTTTGGATTTGAGGAAACATAGATAAAAAACATAATCCAATAGAAATTTCAGCAAAACAACATGCATATTTTCAGGTACTCTTTGGATTGGTCGGACCTGGAAAGTTTGAAAACCTATGAGAAGTACACACAGTATTCGCGCACAAAGCTTATGATTCACTTGATGACATTCAAGCTTGCTCGTTTGTTCAACAAATCTGGAGTTACTTGCAACGTTCTGGAACCAGGCGTCATCGAGACAAAACTTCTGCGGTTAGTTCAAAAAGGCCCTTATCATTTGCCAAATTTTTGAATTACAAAATTACTTCTAAAATATTAGGTTCAATTACTTTTTGTATCAATATTTTTCTGTACTACTAGTAGTAATGGATGTTTATGCAAATAATTATGCTGACTTTCAATATTATGCAGACCAGAAATATTGCTTATTTCAAAGCCTTTGGCATGTTTGATTTCTCGCGTTTTCAGTGCTACTGTTCACATTTACGTGAATTGTTTTCAGTTACGAATTGAAATGTAATTTTATCATCCTTGTCTATAAGTTTTAATAGAAATTCCAATAAATTTCAGAGCTGGTGGTTATAGTGGAGCTCCTGTTTGTGAAGGTTCTCGAGCATGCATCTTTTTGTGTACATCTGATAGTGTAATCAATGTGAATGGTGCTTACTACGATAAAAACTGTAAACGCGTTACCAAATTATTCAAAGATGCAGTGGATGAAAAGCAGCAGGAAGATCTGTGGCAATTAACCGATAAGTTATGCGAAGAAAAAGGCGTCATACTTCCGAAAATTTAAATTTTTTTTTGCTTAATCTCAAACACTAAAGAATGACTTGCTGTCATTTTTCAATGTGAATATTTTAAGAAATTATTACTCGATTTTTCGTAGGATTTATCCTAACAAAAAAATCGATATTAACTTTAAAAAAATCAGTGATAAAAACAGTCATTCGACTAGGATTTGTAAGCATATAAATCCTAACCGAATGACTGATTTTATGATTTCATGAATTCCTCTAAAATAATTTTTAAGATTATAAGCATCTTACTGAAAACTCAAATTACTTTGTTGTATTGTAGCTCATCAGCTTATGAGATTTATCATTTCGTTTACTGTTGGTTTATTTTTATGTCTTGACTTATTAATTGCTTGTTATATAAGCTGAAACATATTGTGATTCATTCTTGTCTTGCTTCTTGTACTGTAAATGAAATAAATTTGACCTTTTTTCTAAAAAATTACTCTTCAATTTTAAATGGTTTGTTTTTCTACCAATGTAGTTTCATTTCCAGCTGTTAGGAGATGATGAGCTCATTATGTTTAGATACGTTTCTTGGAAGTGTCAGAAGTCAAACTTTACGACAAAAAATTTCGATAAATGCTATCATAAAACATGATACTATTTTAATAGAGAATCATTACTTGTGTTATGCAGACAACTGACACAACAATCTAAATGGATGGAAGCGAAGAATTTCCAACGGAGGTTGAAATTTTCGAAAATGTTCACGACTCTCAATTTATTCGGCCCATAAGAATGAAATTCAAAAGGGTGAGTATATTCTACCTGCTTTGTTGCTCAATATAATTCGATGCTAAGTTGTGCCGCTAAGCGGTAGTTCGTCAATTCCGTTAACTGTTACTAGTTTAATTTCTAACCTGCAAATTTTTCATATTTTTATCATGGGATTTATATGAGACCCTCTGGTAGAACAGTTTTAGGGTGATAAGCTTATCAAATGAGATCTTATTCTACGTCATGACAGTGTTGCCTGCTTACTGTACCATAAACAGAAGCAGTTACTGCTCTTTGTTAAACAGTTTCGGCCGGGTAAGTATCTAATTAATTTGCATGTTTTACAAAAAGTTTGCTAGAAACAATTTAAATAGTTCAAACCTTTCATGGCTTTCATTGATTGGTATGCTTGATAACGTAGACTTTCAGCGTACTGTAATAGTCTAACACAATCTTCAATTTTGAAAGTTTGGAAATAAGACACAAAAGTATAATTCAAAGAATTAAAATAATGTGAAAGAAAGTGGGATTTCCTATTAAAGAATTATTTCAGAACATCGCGGCTACTGAGAATTAATTAGTTGAAAGAATATGCTCAGTATTTATAACAAATTAAAGTACAACTCCAAAACGTTTTGACCCTGGTCATTGGGTTCGGTCAACCTTTTACCCATTTCAGCTGTCTATATATCAAAAATACATAGACTAAACGAAAACGTTAACAAAAAGTGGAAAGAAATAAATTAGTCGGAATATCCGATAAGTAGGGGTGAAACAATCGAGCTCTGTGCTGGTATAATTGATAAACTGAATGTTAGCTGGAGAAAGCATATGCAAGAAGTTCATGAAGAGTGTGGGTATAATGTCAACGAAGCTGACATTCAAAGCGTAAAAACATTTGTGTTAATTCTGTAATGATACAATTCTTGCTATATATTTTAATAGGACCGGAATTTAAGGTGAATGAGTCATAATGGCATAATAACCAATTTACCTTTAAATTCTGTGCATATGCTTCTTTATGCTTTAGAACAGCTGTCGGTTCATCGGGTTCCCGACAAGAAGTGTTTTACGCTGAGATCGATGAAACGATGAAAGTTAGTGAAGGAGGTGGTGTAGATTCTGAAAAAATTGATAAGGTTTTTTCAATTTCTACAATTCTTTAAAGAGTCAGGATTTTGAACGAATACAAAATTTAAATAGATTTCAAGTGATCAAAAAGTCGATCCTTTGTTATTGTTAAGCCAGACACAAAGGCATATTCAGAAAAATACTAAAAAATATAGCTATATTTCATAGAAACTGACAATTAGAATGTAAAAAAAGAGTTTCGGACATATTGTGACCAAAAGGAAATAGCAATTTCTTCCGAAGGATGTATGGGAATTTCGAACATAGTGGCATCCTGTAGTATCTGTTGTAGTGAGACGAAAGTAGTTTTGCTGTTCCAAATTTTTCTGTGGTTTTTGGAATTAATAGAACAGCTAATACTATTTCTAATCCATTTTGCGCTGATAAAACTATGTCCTTCAGATTTTCATGACGATACCCGAAGCACAGAAATATTGTGACCAAAAGGAAGTACCAAGTTCTCCCGGGATGCTTTATGCTTTGATGTGGTTTTTCAAAAATCGGATGTAATTAAACGTCAGAGGTTGGGGATGAAAATGTTGCCGCTTACATTGAAAATTCTCTTTAACTTAGGAATATGCCGCATCTCTCATAATCTTTAATAAATTTCCATTTTCAGAATGTATGTAGTCTGTAAAACATGTGTGAGGTGCTATAATTCGATCCCATGAAAATTCAAGTTAACTTGAGTCTCTGTGTGAGGATACATAAGGAAAACATAGCAAGAGAGAACCACAATAAAGTAGATAATCACGAAGAGTATGTGGATTTATATTTTGATTAAAATCCAGGTAGTTTATACATTAGAGAAATCAAACGCGGTAAGAGATTAGTTACTTTATTATTTGAAATATTCGAGCTGCAATGAATTTGTATGTGATCCAAGTTTGAAATCTGCTAAACTTATAGCACGCTTGATCATAATTTTATTAAATTCTTTATCACTGTGAAGTGGCAGAGGCAGTGAAAAACAGTTAATGTAAAACCAACCAAGAGAGGATTAACAAATATTCGCATAATTACAAATTACAAAAAAAAATTCTAAGGCACACAAAGAAGAGCAAATTAAAAGGTGGGGATAGTAAGAAATACAAAAAAGAAATAAAAACATATATATCGACGGAAAAATCAGTTATATGAGAGCTGATTAACAGCCTTCTATAGCATCCTTTCTCGAATTTTATTTGAATCGATCAAGCCTCCTATGTTAATGGAACTCGGTCACCTATATCTTACAAGTCGGTATTTTGCACTGAATTATGTGCAACAATAAATTAATTTGCAATTTATGTCGATATATATCCATTTTGGTCATTTTAAGTTCAAATTACAATAGCTTTTTTCATGCTTTTTGATAAATTGGAAATGATGTAAAGCTATATAAAAATCTCATAAAAAATATCACTGATTTAAGCCCATCCACTAGTTAATTTATGAAAAAGCTCTTCATTTAATGTTTGATTTTGTTCCTTGTTTCGCAACGACAGAAAAATATAGCCACCAATAAATTCATGTGCAACCTGAAAAGAAACAATAAAAAGTCTAATACTTGGAATTCACAAAAACATTTTGTGTTTCAGAAATCATTACGCTATATCACTGGAAATATTTAGTTCCTGCAAATTGTACTGAGTTGCCAAAGAAACAACCTTGCAATCAGCAGAGAGGGGTTTAAATTCGACATCCTCATCTTCGAACTGTATCTAAAAAATTTTCAATTTTTTTAAAAATTCACTTTTACATTCGTATGTCTCGCACTTCAGTTGACAACTTGCAGCGGTCTTCATTAGAATGCTGCTAGAGTGGAATAAGAAAGCTCTAGCCCGATATCAATTTATAAGTCAAGTACCGTGATTTTACTGTTTCTTTTAATTAATATTCCATTCAGGGGTTACAGAATTCTTGAAAGAAAACACGTATTTCATATTTTTATTGCAGTGGTTGTAACTACCGTTGACAATTAAATAAATAGAAAAGACATACTCAAAATTATGTAATAACTGCAACGTGCATCTTAAAAAATGAAAAGCCAAAACTCACTTTTAGATGTCGAATTTCCCAATTCACATGCCACTTTTTCATCGTTGAAAACCTCCATGTTTTCAAACTCTCTCCTGTATCTATATTCATTCGCATTATTCTATTGAAAGCGATGCCCATCAATTCCGATTTTCGACTATTTCTAAAAAAGGAAAATTATATATGTATAAAAAGATGATCTCCATGATAGAAATTATAAATGACGAGCTGAACCGTTTTCAAAACACGACAGAAAACTTAATTTTAGACTTTAAGAGTTTTGCGAAAAAAATTCAGGAACCTGAATCGAACGATGAAGTAATGGATGCCATGCTCAGGTAGCGCTTCCCATGCTCTTATGTATTGTAATTTCGCTTCCATACTCGACAGATTTCGAACACTTGAATGCGCTTCAGTGATTCGTTGTTGGAGCTTCAATAACAGTTATTTTATAAATTGATTTAGCAAAGTATAAAAAACACTAGCTAGAAAAAGAATCAAAATCTTGGAGGAGCAGGACAAACTTTTATTATGCTGGAAGCAGAATTTTTTTTAATAGATAAAAATGTGCCATAAAAATGAGAAAAGCATGCGGACCAGCAGATTGCATAATTTTAAGCATAAAAAAGTTTCGAAAGTTATTTAAAGATTTAATACTTTTAAAACAACTTGTATCATTTAAATGGGAAATAAAATGTATGATATTCGGATGCAATATCACTTATATTTAATTTTGCAAATTTATAAAGTAAAAAGAAGTATTATATAAAATACAGGTTTTAAGGAAATGACTTACTGCTTGTTTTGAACGCGCTCTGCGAGCATATCTCTGTGAAACAAATTCATCAATATTGAAATCAGGAGGCAATTCCACAGCACGATGCTTTTTCAACGTATTATTTTGCGCCCCTGCTGCTACAAAACGAATTCTTTAAATTTAAATGTTTAAATTAGGAAGCTCGCCTATTTGGTCTTTGTAGATATTGAAGCATTTCAAATTACTTTAAACAGGCACTAGTAACAATATTCAGAAATTATAAATGCTAATTTTATTATTCTTCACAGAATTATAGAACTAAAGAACAACGAAGAAATTTGCTTTCAATCTTTGAAAGAATATTTAAAACCTCCTAATTGCATTTGCAGAAGTTTTTTAATAGAATCAACTTCTAATTGATAACTTGCATCAGCCATTGTCTTTCCACGAGAAGCAAGACGGCATGCAGCCATCCAACGTGCATACTGATGCTCCTGTAAAAAACTTTCGACATGTCTTTTTCAAGCATATGTCTTGAATCATAAGCAGATATTTTTTATTATGAGAAATTGTTACTTCTGCTGCTTCTGTTTCAATAATTTTTTCATTATGAACTCACCGTGTCGCATTTTAAAATCATTTCACTCATTCCTTCACTACTTGGTATAAATAATTTGATATGGAATTTTGATTGTGCCAGAGAAACATCTGGCGTTACCTCACACCCTGAAAAAAGGAAAAAAAATTCGGGAATATTTGGCAGTTTCTAGAATGTTCTAACCGTACAAAATCCGAGAATAGCTATTGTGAACGTATGTAGTCTCATCAAAATCTATGGTAAGAAGACATTACCTGCTAATACGCCACAGTACTATGAAAACCAAAACTACAAAGAATTAAATCTCAGAAGTAGAAGAAAACAAACCCTTGAGACTAAAATATCCTACTGGTGGACCGTTCATGTCATTCGAATTCTGATGCCAACTGAGATGCAAATCTCGAAATGAGAAATATGCTCGTTTAAAGCCTTTGAATGCTATTTTTTTCGGCCTGAATCATATGTTTTTGTCAGGGCAATAATTTGAGCATGAAATTTTAACAAAGAAAAAACCCCATTTTTTTCTTTTTTTTTCTTTGTTTATTTTATATTTTTTTGAAATGAAGTACACAATAATGAATAAAATAGTTAGCCGAATAAATTTGAACTCTTTAATAATAAAGCTGTTCCCATATCGTTTTACTCGATTTCTTAATAACTAGTGCTTTTTACATGCTTTAATTATTAAAATAATTACTCATTTGGGTAATTATTACTTCATATATTTGAGATAATCGGCAAGTTCAGGGACTTGTGTAAGATCTGCCTTACGATTGAAAGCTGCTGCGTCCAGATTTTGCTCCTGAATAAATCCAATAAACAGTTCTTATGTGAAACAAAATTTATGGCATTGGTTCACATTATAAAAAATTTGTAGAAAAAATTTTGCAAATAATCAGTTCCTAATCATATTACATCCGACAATAATAATACATGCAAGATTTATGAGTAAAAACAAAAACTTACAAGTTCATCGAGTAATAAATCCACATCATCTTTCTCTGGAGCTTCCGGTTCTGGTAAATCACGCTGTAGGGTAGCTTGTAACTGCAAACGAGCTGTGTTTTACTTGTAGAGGCAGAATCTTATTTGAAAATTGAAACCTTCCACGGTTTTAACAAAACTTTCAACAAAATATTTTGAAAACAAACTTGCAGCGCAGCAAAAAGCATTGCTTCTTCCTCAGTATGATCGAATTCTTCCAGTAGAATAGACCATTTAGCCTGTTCGTACAACTGATTGATACGTACTGGATCATACTACAAAGAGATTAAGTTTTCCCACTTCAGATATAAAGAATTTTTATCTATTCCCTCTACTCTTCATTTTTTAGGAAATTGGAAGATATAATTCGAAAAGCAGTAAAAACATACCTTAGGATTTATGTCAAAAAATGACATGTATTTGAATCTCAGAAGAACCATGTCACCTTCGGATATACCTTGTTCCATAAGGGATCTATAAAATTTGTTACAGGAAAAAAAGTTGCATTCAAGTGGAAAAAGATTGTACAAATTCACTAACTCCTCACAGCAAAATGGTTTTTTTCTTTCTAAATAACGTAACAGACAATTTTATTCTTTTTAAAGAACGTCAATGATGGCTAATATAATTTTTGTTATTAATGTTTTGATTGAAGATATCTATTAATAGACAATTTTTTTTTCTTTTTAAATAACGTGTTTACCTTGACGAATCAAGCCAACCACGATTGAGCGCCGCTTTTTCTGCATAATTCTGTGGCCTAAAGACACTCATTTCTTTGTTTGGAATAATTCGCGGTGACTGCACAAGAGCCATATCATATTGTTCATTTTCGAGTCCCTCACAGAATGAAACGGAAGGCATAATAGGGTTTCGACCAATTGAACCACCGTACTATAAATTTGTAGGATTTTTCAAAACCATAAAATTAAATCCAATAATAGTTAATTTCCGCAAATATATATAATATTTTAAGTATTTGAAAATGTAAAAATAATAAAATAAAAAAGGGTAACCGAAAGGAATAAACTTACAGCGCCAGGACCAGGACTGACCCCTCGTGGAACTGTGCCTGCACGTGGGAGCGAACCAAGCTCACTAGCATTAAATATCTGGCCACTCGTTGACAGTCCAGGACTGGTACCTCGACGAAGTGGTCGAGACAAGTTGGAAGTAGATGCACTGATCGGTTTCTGTCGGCGAAGGGTACCAGGACCAACTGATTCCTGAAAAATACTTAGGGAGAAAAAAAACCTACTATTTCAAGTTTTAAATAAATTTCCAAGGAAATTTAATTTATGTTACTTCCAAATGATAAATGCAAAGACAATTCTTATAACTTGAGTTAGAAAAATACAACATTTCGCTTACCTCCAAATGTGGTAGCAGTTGTGGGCCAGCTTGATCCAGCTCAAATCCAAGACCTTTCTTAAGAAGCTCTGGTGGTATAAATCGTACCAGCGACAATTCTTCAGAGTATCTTATGCCTAAAATTCAATTCTTTTTCATTACAGTAATATAAAACTTCCTTTCATCCTAATGAGGAGTTCCACTCGTCATTAATTAGAAAGTAATAAATATAAATTTACTATAAAAGTTTGAATTCAAAAACAGCTTCCGAAGATATGTATTAAAAACCTGATGAGGAATGGCTCACCAATTTCTCGACAAAGTTGCTGTGTGGCACGGACAATATTCACTGAAAAGTCCAAGCGTGCATCAATCATTTGCAAATCCGGTAACTGGACTCTGGAAACAGTTTATACAAGTTAATAATTTCAAAACTGAGTTTTGAGTTTATTTAGGACTTAAATTTTTATCCAATAAAGCAAACGGTAGTGAAAATGATTTCAGTTCAGTTATTTATCAATTTACTATTAGTACGCTGAAGCCAACATATTTCATTACAGAGAAAACAATATCCGGTAAGTTAAAATATAAAACTTACTTTATTTTCTTGACATTATTATAATGTGGAAAAAATTTTCCAGTTAAATAAATATAGAAACAAACATTGCTAATTTGTGCTGAGGAGTAAACTCCAAGTTGCAATTTGCAGTAATACCAATCTGATCTAGTGTACTACGTGTATGCGTAAGCCAACGTCTTTTTTCGGGCCACCAAAGTGCATGATCACTCCAGTCTTTGCTCATATCTTAAAATTTAGTTTTTAAACCCAAGTGGGAAACTTAATATTTATTGTTATGTTTTGAGAAAAATTTTATTCCGCAATCAATGAGTCAAGATTTTCAAAGACGTCGATCACCGATCAATAAGGAGCAACATAATTTCAAATGCGAAATTTCGTTGATATTTTAATTTAATGGGTTACAGTTTATATATTTTTTTCTTGAATAAATAAGATATTTTGTGAAATACTTAAAGATGAAACCCATTTTGCTTAAGCAAAGTCAAAATCACTATCGTAAGTAGTCAAGAACAAACCAAGAAAAATTCAAACACTATATAAAACATTCTTAGAGGATATATGTTCCTCATAATGATGGTAAATTTTTTGAAAAACTCAAATGGAAAACAGAATAATATTAGTGTAAAACGAACCAACTTCATCGACCAATCTAAGCATTAACCCACCAATATGCAACGACCCCGTAACAAATAAATTTCGTTGGATGTTCAAATCGGTAACCAAGATTGAAATTTGCCAACTGCCATCATTGGCAAAATCATTCTCCACCAAATGTGTCATTGCTTCCTTAATTAACTTTATGCAAATATAATCACAATTCACGCGAACACATTAGTTAATTCGTGTCTCAGTGCAAGGGACAATATTTGACAAATCATTGAAAAGAAAAAGAAAATGTAAACACTGTTAAATACCATCTTTTTTCACAAAACTCAATTCACATAAAAGATTAGCATATGTCATTCATAATGGATTGGAAGCGACAGATGGATATATAACAATGGCCCTAACCGTGTGACCGCATGAACGTCAGCTTATGCCTTGCTTTTCGTTCATCCAACTTCACAGTTGCATTACTGCAGTTCTTGCTTGCTCTCTCCACTGAACTATACATCTCGTGAATGCAGCGTGCTTATAACACAAGTTAGCGTGCATATATATATATACACATATATACATATACACAAATACACAACACATATACAACATATACACACACACACACACACACAAACACACACAAATAAGCAGAGATATGAAAACAATTGATGGTGCAAAGAGAGAGGAATGGCTAATGCTGAAATAAATGAAGTGGAGAATATATTAACGGAATACCAGACTATCAATCCACCCACTAACAGCAATAATTGCAGGAAGCTTTAGTGAGAGAAATTGAGAATTACTACTGCTAACTGCTATTCTTAAAACATACTGGAAAAATGATGTGCACATTTCCCTAATGTTCAATAAAATGGTATACCGAATGAAAGTATTTATAAACGACAAAAACGTATTGCTAACTACAATGACGTATTCATGGATATCCATAACACTGTATAAAATATCATTCATTTCAATGCTCTGAAAAGGTGGAAGGTGTTTAGAATCAAATTTTAATAATAAACTCAACAATTATCATTTAAAAAAAATATTCTACTTCAGAATGCCAAGAGGGAATTTTGAGAAAGATTTATTCATCCTGGATTATTTGAGTTTAGTTCAGTCCACTCTTTTTCCTCTAAGCAGAAATCCATAAATGACTTGAGCGTAGTCTCTAACTTATGAAGGAAACTACTATATTTCAGTCGTTCTTTTGGTTTCAAATAGCAAAATAATCTATTTCCTAAATGAACTTGGATCTTCCAAGAATTGAATAAATGGAATAATATAATTAAGTCTAACTAGACAAGTTAAAAATAAAAACAAAAATACAAAGAAGTTAATTGGTTATCACTTCCAAAAGCAAGCGTCTTTCCTGAAATATTTCGATTGGAAAAAAGTTCTCACATCAAACAATATCATGATCCTAAAATCTTGAAGCTTCATTTGCAAAAACGATAAAAAGTATGGAGCAAGTATTTATTTGTTTGAAATCTGAATACGAATAAAACACAAATATATTTTAAGGCAAATATAGAGAGACATATTTTAAGAAAAACAAAAACTGCCATCATTCAATACAATTTGTGATTTCGAATCATTATTTAATTTTTCATGGCTTCTTGAGCCAAACTAATACCTTTCATAAATCGTTATCAATATTTAGAATTTTTTTATTTAAAGTAGAAAACAAAAGGAATCTTGAAAACATGACAACTTCAAATTACGTTTGCAACTCTAAAAACATTTCCATTTTTTGCAAACATAAAGACCTTGAAATAAATGAAATATCCCTGGACAATAAAAGATGACATTAATGTATTAGTGAAAGCTTCCTAAATCAAATAAAATTACAGAGATCTAAACATGTATAAAAAATGCTGAAAGAAATAAGCAATAAAAATAATAAGCGCTATTTCGCACTTATTTAATACAAAACCATGAAAAAATCTGAAAACTAACTGATCAATTGCATTCGGTCGCCTCTGAGTTATGCGTGTACCTACCTATCAATAGCAAATCTAGTTGGACTTAATAATCTCTTGGAAGGGCAAAAAAGTGGCATCACATGTAAGAAAATTTACTGTCTGTAAATGAGGTACAACAAAAATGTGCATAACTAATACCGCTGATAACACTGTACTGACCTTCATTTGATTTAAAGGAGGCGAATTTAGAAGTGAAAAATTAAAAGTAATTGTTAGTAAAACTTAATTATTTCCTCTCTTCTAAAAGCTTTCAATTGATTTATTTAAATAAATAGTATAACCGATTGCAGGATGCAAGCATTGGCACAGCAATAATCTTATGAGATCATGAATAAGTAATTTGTAAAAACGCTTAATTATGACCCTAAGGTCGTATCTCCAAGATTGCAAATAGCCTAAAAATGACGAATGAAAACAATAAATTATACCCAGTTAAGCCAGTCTCTAACAAACTAACGATATGTATTGAAGTTTTATCTACCGGAACTCAATTTTCTGCAGGCTCAGATCACCTTTCACAGTGATACTTTCAACGCGCATCAGCTGGGAAGATCTTCGGTAATTAAAATTAGCAAAATGATTACTGTTAACTGTGATCTGAAATAAAATACCTAAAATTTGGCACTGCGACATCGTTAATGATTACCAGGAATTATTTGTTAACGAATGAAAAATCAAAATTTACGAAAATTGGCCTTAATGTCAATCACAAAGACCAGTTATTTTTCGAAAATTGCCGTAATGTCAACCATCAAAGATCAGTTAGTGTTATCAATTATAATAGTCGTTTTACAGTGTCCAGCTTGACTTGTTCTACGTCTAATTTTCTGTTCATTAAAAAATATTCCACCTTCGTTTCAAATACGTTAAAAATCTTCCAGTATATTGGATTTTATACTGGAAATAAAATCTTGAATAAAACTTTTGCCTGACATAACACCACTTATCATCAATTCACATCAAAAAAATGAAAATAATTCGAAGTGGATCATAAATAATACTATCTATGAAGCGATAAATTTCAATCACTATAAAAAACATCAGTAAACTTACAGAAATGTACTCTTCTTCAAAATGAAACATGGCATCAAAGGTAATTCCTCGTCGAAA